CTACAATCTCATTCGTACATTTTACTATTATTTACTTATCCACTAATGATGGTTGGGTTTAGGGGTGTGGTTGGGTGCCACGCCTCCGTTTCCTCTTGAGAACACCTCAGTGTTGTATGGCAGGGCATAGATGTGGTCTTTCTCTCTCATAGATATATACACTAGATATCGCATAGGGACTCTGAGCATGCGTCAATAGCGCCGCCACATTGGTACAGTGCTCCCAGGACAAATGTCATTCAACCGCACTAGTCAAGACAGTGTTATTACATGAAGATGCGGGACTTTAGCGCTGTCTACGGGTGTAGTAACGAAAAAACAAAGCACAAAGGCAGAACATTTCATAGGTAAGACTAAGTTTTTTTCTGTTTTTGAATGTTCTGAACTTTTGTGCTAATCAGGTAACGTTATTGATGATAACAGTCACTTACTGCATTCACCATATGGCAAAGTAGCTCCAACTCGCACTAAACACTCGGCTTATGCTGGTTTTGTTGAATAAAATCAGCAAACAATGCAAAAGAAATATGACAACGAGATGCTGCGCTGCCAGAAACTTGTATTATTGTCGGCTAACGTTAGTGAAAGAGTCGTTCGGGGGATTCATTCACAAACGAATCGCTCCCTCCGTCAGTATGAGAAGTGAAAGCAGGAGAGGAGCTGTGTTTCAGGACATGATTAGATCAAATTTAACAGGGAGGGTGAATAGTACATTTCTGTACACACAAACACAGCTTTTTGTCAGGAATGCCCGTGCGATCACTGATCCATCAATGTAGAAAAGTGATGTAAATTTATAAGTTTCGTAATTAGAAAAAAAAATTACATCCTAACATCCAGGAAAACTCCCAATCATAGATATATGTGTATATCTCTGGCTTTAGATGGCCACAGTCCTCCACTGTACCTTGGTTCCGCATTAATTTAAAAGGAGCACTACCCTGTAGCAAGATGGCGGCGCTATTGACGCATTCCGTCCAATAGACAACAATAGGCCAGGCGACATCTAATGTATATATCTATGTTTCTCTCTGAGCAGGCTGTCACACTGATGCTGATTCAGGCATATGGATTGAATGAAATTACCAGTTTGCAATAGCATCATTCAGTGGACACAATTGGAACAGCAGTTTCTTTTATCCTTTACAGAATCATCTCGCGGGCTGGATTAAACCCATTTTCGGGCCTGATCTGGCCTGCGGGCTGTATGTTTGACATCCCTGAACTCGAGTCACCTTGAGCACTTCTTATGTGTTGACACACTTCAATCCAATACATCTTCATTCTATAGTGCTTACACAATGTGGATTGTGTCAAAGCAGCTTAACATAGATGAAGTTCTAGTAAATTAAAACTGCTTCAGCTCCGTTTTCACAGCTGAAGTTCAGTTTAGTTCAGTGCAGTGTGATGTAAAGGTCACTGCTGAAAGCCAAAACACTGAAGAGCAACTCCATCAATGTGTAGCTCCGCAATTCCCAAATCATGCAAGCCTGTGGCGACAGTGGCGAGGAACAAAATTCACCAATTGAGGAAAATGAAGGAAAAAAACAGACTCAGATAGACTATAAAATTTAACCAATAGGTTATTAACAATGACATAATTTACATAAAATATACTTTATAGATCTGTAAATCCTCGGTCATGTTTATTAGACGAAATGTTGATGACATTTGAAAATAACAGTCTATGTCAGGTCTATTCAATTAATTTGTCATGGGGGCCAGTTCATGAAAAGCATCCTAAATAAGGGGCCGGAGAGATATGACTTGCAATATGAGTGATGACACAACAGTATATAAGAGCCCATATGTTGTATTTTTGCTCCTTAAGACACCCACGTTAGCTTTTTCTACATTAAAATGTTAATATGTTGTATTTTGAAACAACATAATATCAGTGCATTTTACAATAGACTTTTTATTTATTTATTTATTTATTTATTTGTTTATTTATTTATTTATTTATTTATTTATTTATTTATTTATTTATTTATTTATTTATTTATTTATTTATTTTTTACAAACATTCAAATGTTGTATTGCAGAGCACAACAAAAGCAGTGCATTGCTGAAGTAGCCTTCTTCTACGTTCAGACAAATTCATGTTCATATGTTATGTTTTGAACTGCATAACAATTAGGGAGCAACAATTATAGATTTTGGTTGTACGATTAAATAGTCTGATAAATAATCATGGCTTCACGGTTGTCACGTCTAAAGTAAATTTAAGCTTTATATTAGGTAAGTGTTTAAATGAACTGTTGTTGTCATCTGCGTTCATACATACATAATCAATTTAGCAATTCGTAACAATTCATCTATTATATCTTTTGTTTACATTACACTGAAAGCCATGCACAACTCTCACCGCTACGGCGTAAGACGTTTTCTACTGAGTGTGTCTGTACTTGCACGCAGAAAAGACGTAATAGGTAAATGAGAATGTCAATCAAAGTGTTTCTGCAGACTGTTTTTATCAAGTGGGATCATGAGAAATAGAATTAATTCATTTTTACCATTAGAGGCTGGCTATATGCACACACTGTTGCCACACAACTCAAATCCCTTATAAAAGTAATTTTTGCATAATAGGTGCCCTTTAATTTGTCTTTTACACTCACCGGCCATTTTATTAGGTACACCTTACTAGTTCCGGGTTGGACCCTTTTTTGCCTTCAGAACTACCTTAATCCTTCATGGCATAGGTTCAACAAGGTACTGGAAATATTCCTCAGAGATTTTGGTCTATATGATAGTATCTCGCAGTTGCTGCAGATTTTTCGGCTGCACATCCATGATGCTAATCTCCTGTTTCACCACTTCCCAAAGGTGCTCTACTGGATTGAGATCTGCTGACTGTGGAGGCCATTTTAGTACAGTGAACTCATTGTCATGATAAGAAACCAGCCTAAGATGATTCGCATTTTATGACATGGTGCGTTATCCTGCTGGAAGTCATCAGACCTCGGTTGTAACAAGTGGTTACTTGAGTTAATGTTGCCTTTTTATCAGCTGGAACCAGTCTGGCCATTCTCCTCTGACCTCTGGCATCAACAAGGCATTTACGCCCAGGTGTACCTAATAAAGTGGCCGGTGCGTGTATATAAGCAGTGTTATAAACTACGTTTGATCAGTAATGTTTACCACTACATTCGTGAGCATGAGCTTTTTAACTGAAATAATAATAATAGTAATAAAAACTGAGTAATATTTTTTAGTCCGTCTCTGCATATTTTGCAGCATTATTGCAGAATTATGGCCCAGTTCTCATGCAGTGAGATGTTCAGTCATGTGTGTGAGTGTTTGCCATGTTTCTGTAGTCTCTCTGTGTGTGTGTGTGTATTAGAAATGTCAGCTAGTGTGAAACACATAGATGATCAAAGGCCAGTCTGTCTGTCTGTTCTCTGAGAAACACAACCTGCCCTATTTGTGCACAAAGGCTCTCTTTGAAAGTTTTGCGAACGCCCCAATTAAAGCAAAGAATTTCCCCCGTCCTGTGTCCGAGGACGCACAGATGAGGACAAAGGCACGTTTAGATGGACACAATCGCACAGTCTGGCAGGGGAACAATAGAGAAAATGTGTGAATGCATGAAATGAAACACTTCACCTTTCATGAGCTCGTGTGCTCTGGCCACGTCAAACTTGCGCGCACGTATGAATCTCAGGAGTAGAGAGTCAGGCTCCTTGCTGAATTTGTCTTGCACAGTTTTGGCCACCTCATCTCCTTGGCCTGCCTTGTCTTTAATCATGGCTCTGAGTTCCTTTATAGCAGACGCTCTCTTCTCATCTGTTTCGTTCAGCTCATCTTTAGCCTTTAAGATAGGAAGATCAATTTCATTTAAAGCACAACTAAAATATAATTTTTTCTAAATTTTTGGCTATATGTAAGAATACTTTTTTTGCAGATAAATAATTTCTAGTATCTTAAACGGTACATTACAGTAGGCAAAATAAGTATTTATCAGAAAACATATTTCTAAAGGTGCTGTTGACTTGACATTTTCACCCCATGTTGATCACAACCAAAATAAATCCATACATGCAAAGAAAACAAATCTAATTAGTTTACAAATTAAGTTATGTGTATTAAAATGAAATGACACAGGGAAAAAGTATTGAACACATGAAGAAGGGAGCGGTAGAAAGGCAGTGAAAGCAGCTGAAATCTCTAGCCTGATCTCACGAGGAGTATTTTACAGTATGTTTCGTCAGTTTAGAGACTAATTCGAACAAATTCGTACGAGTTCAGTCGTACGAAAATATATGATTTTAAAAAGGAGGCGTGGCACCCAACCCCACCCCTAACCCCAACCGTCATTGGGTGATGAGCTAATCCTACTAAATTGTAAGAATTAGATCGTTTCTTGTGACTAAATGAAAAACGAAAAAACGACTTTTAAACGTTTACTTTATTTTCCTTTTTTTTGTTTGTTTGAAAACGGATATGAATTAGACGGAAGAGACCCTGATTAGTAATAAAAATTATGGCTCCATTTTCATTTTCATAATATATAATCAATAGGAGGAAATAAAATAATTTTTAAAATAGTACACTTTGTTGTAGCAACTGAGCCCAATGTGTTTTTATTCTGGTCCTGCTAAAACTATTTAAAAAAAACTAAACAATAAAAAAACAGTAAGTAAACAATATTATTATTATTAATAATAATAATAATAATAATAATAATAATAATTATTATTATTATTATTATTATTATTATTATTATTATTATTATTATTATTATTATTATTATTTAGGCCTACAGTAGCACGGAAACAATCATGCAAACCAGATGCTGCTCGCAAATGGCTGTCTTTGCTCAGCATCAGGTGCACAACAGTAAGATGTTTGGTAGCGAACTAGGCATTTATTATTATTAAGATTATTATTATGATTTTTATTATTATTATTATTACTAACATCATTATTAATATATAGGCCTTGCTCGGAAATAATCATGCAAACTAGGTGCTGCTCGGAAATGGCTATCAATGCTCAACATCAGGTGCACAGCAGCAGGACGTTTGTCAGCAAACTGACCTTATTTAATGACAAATGTCTAATAATACTGCTAATTTACATTTTTATTTAATTTATGCATACGCAGTGAATGTAAGCCTGCTAACTGATCAAATGACAGAATATGTAAACTTAGTTTATAAAAATTGGCCGTTTTCCTCATTTTCCTTTTATTGTTTGGTTTGAAAACAGATATGGATTGGACGGAAGATACCCTGATTTACTCTGACCCTAGACAACTATTCATTTCTAAGTCAGCAGCTCCCTCTTCTTATCAGCAGTGCGTTTTTGATTTCTTACAAGCTCTTCAACTGGAAAAGATTCAGTTCGCAATAAAACAAAAGCCATAACAGTTCCAGAAAGTCTGGAGCCCTTTTCCAAATTTCTTTGAGGAGACACCTATATCTTAATTGCCCTTTTTTTCTTTGTATTATTTATTTATTTATTCTTTTGTTTGTTCTTCATTATTCTTATTTTTGTTATCTTATGTTTGTATATGTTTGTGTAAATATGTGGTATTTTACCTTTTATTTAAATACTTATTGAGTGTATAATTATGTTTTTCTGATCATTTCTTGTTTGGTGAATTGTATCTGCATATATCTAATGTATCAATATTATGTATATTTTATAGCCTGATCTAGATGAACCTAATAAAAAAAAAAAAAAAAAATTTAAATGGTAAAACTGTTTAACTTGGTTAAGTAACTATCGGTTTAATCAGGGGTGTCCAAACTCTGTCCTGGAGGGCCGGTGTCCTGCAGATTTTAGCTCCAGATTTTTTGCCTCAACACACCTGCAAGGATGTTTCTAGATAGCCTAGTAAGAGCTTGATTAGCTAGCCCAGGTGTGTCTGATTGGGGTTGGAACTAAACTTTGCAGGACTGAGTTTGGACATGCCTTGGTTAAAGTAATCCGTTATCGGCAAATATGGTCCAACCTAGCTATCAGTATCGGTAAAATCCAACATCGATAATCCAAAGACGTTATTGCTGTTTAATTCACAATTCCTAGCAATTCTTTGCAATAAACAGTGAAATTTATTAGCAATGTCTGAGTGAATGTTATTTTTACACCATTTTGGGCTGTATTGCAGCATATGGTGCATCGATACCTTCTGTTTTGTATGATCCGGCAGTCTCATACAAGGTCCATACACTGGCCCGTGGTCTTTCACAGTCAGATGTTCAAGCTTAGCCCGTAATGCCTGCTCCTCCTCGGACACCATACGAAAACTTCCAGTCTGAGGGGATTAAAAAATGGGGAAAGAAAGCATTATAGTACATGCAGCGCTTCAACGAGCCGCAGACAAAAGGGTTTAAGGAGAACTAATCTCATGTCTACACGACTACAAGAGACCCCCTACTTTCAGACTATTTGATAATCTCCAGCACATGACCCACCAAAACACCTTGAGAAACCAGAGATTAGTTCATCCCACTGAGTGCATTTAACAACAGGGCTTAATGAACTCTTTTAAGTGCCTATTATGGAAGAGGAGGAGTACTTACAGCAGCCATAGTGCTCAGATTCTCCACGGGCTGAATGGAAACTGTAAAATAAGAAATCGTAATTCACTTAGTCCCTTATTTATATCAGGGGTCACCACAGCGGAATGAACCGTCAACTATTCCAGCATATGTTTTACGCAGCGGATGCCTTTCCTGCCATAACCCAGTACTGAGAAACACCCACACCCACACTCGTACACTACAGCCAATTTAGTTCATCCAATTCACCTAAAGGATATGTCTTTGGACTGTGGGGAAAAGCAGAGCACCCACACGGGAAGAACATGCAAACTCCACACAGAAACACAAACTGGTGCAGAAACTGGAACCAGTAACCTTCTTGCTGTGAGGCAACAGTGCTAACCACTGAGCCGCCATGCCACCCTTAGTAACCCTTAGTTAGATTTTCTTTAAAATTATTGGTATTTTTAAAAATCACATGACGTAAACAGAAACACAGAACATTCCTGAATTCGCCGAGGCGTTATACTGAAAACTAAATGTGTCATTTGTTTACAGATGGAAAAACATCAATCATTTTGAGCTGCGATTGCAAATTCACACATTAAATTGCATCATGTTCTCATATCACTTCAACTCCGGGTTAATATTGAAAGATTTTTAGATTATTATTAAACATGGACACTAATAATTAATTGAGGGAAGAGATTAAATAATTAGTTGCGAATGTAAATGATCCTATAAAATTATCACCTTCTCATATTAATTCATTTTGTTAATTCATTTTCTTTTCGCCTTAGTCCCTTTATTAATCAGAGGTCGCCACAGTGGAATGAATCGCCAACTTAGGATTCCCTTCCAGCTGCAACTAAAATACTGGTAAACATCCATACATACACACACTCACACTACGGTCAATTTAAGCTCACCCAATTCACCTATAGCGCATGTGTTTGGACTTTGGGGGAAACCAGAGCACCAGGATGAAACCCATGCGAACAAGGGGAGAACATGCAAACTCCACACGGAAATGCCAACTGACCCAGCTGAGCCTCGAACCAGCAACCTTCTTGCTGTGAGGCGATGTAAATATAACTCCGTGTAAATATTTAAAGAATTTTAGATTATTAGACACTGTTAATAACTAACTGCTGAAAGAAATAAAACAATTAGAACAGCAAAGGTAAGTTGTCATATTAAATTGCACGATAGTATTAATATTATTAGAGGCTGCAGATGAAAATGTGAATAAATCTTGATACTTGCTTGACAGACTTTAAAAAGCCTTCAAGTTTGAACATTTACTATATAGATAGATAGATAGATAGATAGATAGATAGATAGATAGATAGATAGATAGATAGATAGATAGATAGATAGATAGATAGATAGATAGATAGATAGATAGATAGATAAGGGCATAACACCTGTGATATTGCTTTCAATTTTAATGGTTAATAATTCAATTAATACTGCAGATAAAAGCTTGTTGTAAGCATCAGCCAATAAACTCTAAATCCAGTCTTATCCTGTGAGCTCAGACACGGAGCAAAGCGTACAGTTTTAATAAGACTAAGAGTGTGTGACTTACCTCAGCCGAAGGAGATCCAGGAGTGACTGAGGGCTCAGAGAGAGAGAGAGAGAGAGAGAGAGAGAGAGATGAGATGTGGAGTGCAGTTGATTACTGTCAGATTAACCTGTCACAGCCCATAACTCCCAGCAGAATCATCTCATCTACACCACAGACATGCAGGAGGAGGAGCTAAAGCACAAACGCAGCAGGAGGACAAATATATGTACACTCACCGGCCACTTTATTAGGTCAACTGCTTGTTTAAGACAAATTTCTAATCAGCCAATCACATGGCTACTATTCAATGCATTTAGGCATGTAGACATGGTCAAAAGGAGAAAATATCCAGTGAGCGGCAGTTCTGTGGGCGCAAATGCCTTGTTGATGGCAGAGGTAAGAGGAGAATGGCCAGACTGGTTACAGCTGATAGAAAGGCGACAGTAACTCAAATAAGCATTTGTTACAAACAAGGTGTGCAGAAGAGCATCGAATAAACAACATTTGCAACCTTGAGGCAGATGAGCTACAGCAGAAGAAGACCACACCGGGTGCCACTCCAGTCTGTTAAGAACAGGAAACTGAGGCTATAATTCACACAGGCTCACCAAAATTGGACAAGAGAAGATTGGAAAAATGTTGCCTGGTTTGATGAGTCTCCACTTCTGCTGCAACATTCAGATGGTAGGGGCAGAATTTGCTGTCAACAGCATGAAAGCATGGATCCATCCTGCCTTGTATCTACAGTTCAGGCTGGTGGTGTTGTAATGGTGTGGGGGATATTTTCTTGGCACACTTTGGGTCCATTAGTACCAATTGAGCATCGTGTCAACGCCACAGCCTACCTGAGTATTGTTGCTGACCATGTCCATCCCTTATTGACCACAGTGTACCCATCTTCTGATGGCTACTTCCAGCAGGATAACGCACCATCACATAAAGCTCAAATCATCTCAGACTGGTTTCTTGAACATGACAATGAGTTCACTGTACTCAAATGGCCTCCACAGTCACCAGATCAGGTGTGAATGTGAGAGTGTGTGGGTGTTTCCCAGTGCTGGGTTGTGGCTGGAAAGGCATACACTGTGTAAAACATATACGGGAATAGTTGGCAGTTCATTCCGCTGTGGCGACCCCTCATAAATAAGGAAAACAAATGGATGAATGATCATCACATAATAAACGGCAATAATCTTGTAATCTGAAATAAATGTTCATATTTGTGTGAACTATCCCTACAAGCTGATCACAGTGGCATGATGAAGGTATAACAGTGATTACATACTGCCGAAATACTAAGTTAGAAAATCATTTTGTAGTGTCGCTAGAGAGTCTTCTGCATGTCTTGCTGGTATAAATAAGATGAAGTCATTTGTTCTAGTGACCTCTTGAATTACATAAGCTCATTATACAAAAGCTCCAGTCCACTGAATGAAGATCAGTGCCATTCTCTGTCATGCTCCAGTTATGATGCTCATGTCATGTCATTAGCTGTTTGCTGCTCTCATATGTTGTATGATTGGTTGTTTACTTTTCTCATGTGTCATATAATTGGCTGTTTACTGCTCTCATATGTCGTGTGATTGGCTGTCTGGTTGTTTACTTTTCTCATGTGTCGTTTGACTGGCTGTTTAGTTTTCTTGATTGGCTAATTGCTGCTCTCGTGTGATAGGCTGTTTACTTTTCTAATATGTTTTGTGATTGGCTGTTTTCAGCACTCATGTGTCATGATTGGCTGTTTGCTATTCTCATGTGCCACATGATTGGCTGTTTACTTTTCTCAGGTGTTGTGTAATTGGAGGCTTGTATTTCTTATGTGTCGTGTGATTGGCTGTTTACTTTTCTCATGTGTCATGTGATTGACTGTTGGCTGCTTTCGTGTCGTGTGATTGGTTGTTTGCTGCTCTCATGCATCGTGTAATTGGCTGTTTGCAGCACTTGTTTCATGTGATTGGCTGTTTGCAGCACTCTTGTGTCATGACTGGCTCTTTACTATTCTCATGTGCCACATGATTGGCTGTTTACTTTTCTCATGTGTCATATAATTGCTGTTTACTTTCTAATGTGTCATGTGATTGGTTGTTTGCTGCTCTCATGCATCGTGTAATTGGCTGTTTGCAGCACTTGTTTCATGTGATTGGCTGTTTGCAGCACTCTTGTGTCATGACTGGCTCTTTACTATTCTCATGTGCCACATGATTGGCTGTTTACTTTTCTCATGTGTCATATAATTGCTGTTTACTTTCTAATGTGTCATGTGATTGGTTGTTGGCTGCTCTCGTGTCATGTGATTGGCTGTTTGCAGCACTCTTGTGTCTTGTGATTGGCTGTTTGCTGCTCTCATGTGTCGTGTGATTGGATGCTTGCTTTTCTCATGTGTCGTTTGACTGGCTGTTTAGTTTTCTTGATTGGCTGTTTGCTGCTCTCGTGTGATAGGCTGTTTACTTTTCTCATATGTTTTGTGATTGGCTGTTTGCAGCACTCATGTGTCATGATTGGCTGTTTACTTTTCTCAGTTGTTGTGTAATTGGATGCTTGTATTTGTCATGTGTTGTGTGATTGGCTGTTTACTTTTCTCAAGTGTCATGTGATTAATTGTTGGCTGCTCTCGTGTCGTGTGATTGGTTGTTTGCTGCTCTCATGTATGGTGTAATTGGCTGTTTGCAGCACTTGTTTCATGTGATTGGCTGTTTGCAGCACTCTTGTGTCATGATTGGCTCTTTACTATTCTCATGTGCCACATGATTGGCTGTTTACTTTTCTCATGTGTTGTGTGATTGGCTGTTTACTTTTCTCATGTGTCATGTGATTGATTGTTGGCTGCTCTCGTGTCGTGTGATTGGCTGTTTGAAGCACTCTTGTGTCTTGTGATTGGCTGTTTGCTGCTCTCATGTGTCGTGTAATTGGATGTTTGCTTTTCTCATGTGTCGTGTGATTGGCTCTACTTTTCTCATGTGTCGTGTGATTGGATGCTTGCCTTTCTCATGTGTCGTGTGATTGGCTGTTTACTTTTTCCATGTGTCATGTGATTGGCTGTTTGCAACACTTGTGTCGTGATTGGCTGTTTGCAACAGTCATGTTTCGCGTGATTGGCTGTTTGCTGTTCTCATATGTCGTGTGATTGACTGTTGGCTGCTCTCGTGTCATGTGATTGGCTGTTTACTTTTCTCATGTGGTGTGTGATTGGCTGTTTGCAGCACTTGTGTCATCTGATTGGCTGTTTGCAGCTCTCATGTGTCGTGATTGGCTACTTGCTGTTGTTATTATAAGTCATGTGATTGGCTGTTTGCAGCACTCTTATGTCTTGTGATTGGCTGTTTGCTGCTCTCATGTGTTGTGTGATTGGCTGTTCACTTTTCTCATGTGTCCTGTTATTGGCTGTTTATTTTTCTCATGTCTCGTGTGATTGGATGATTGCTTTTCTCATGTGTCATGGGATTGGCTGTTTGCAGCACTCATGTTGTGATTGGCTGTTTACAGAACTTATGTGTCGTTATTGACTGTTTGCTGTTTTCAAATGTCGTGTCGTTGGCCGTTTACTTTTTTCATGTGTCAAATGATTGGCTGTTTGTTGCTTTTATGTGTCCAAGAATTGGCTGGGTTTTTTTTTTTTTTTGGAGGGGGGGTCAGGGGGAGTGTGTTTGTCTGAATAACAGAGTTGAGAACGAGGTTAGTAATTGTTCTGTGGTGTTAGTAACTGTACTATAAACTGGGTTTTGGGCGGCTGCTGCAATCGTATACTATACCAAAGTTGGCAACCTGGTACAGACTGTACCAAAAATCTGAGAACCGGGGCGGGGTGAAATTACGAGAGTTTTTCGGGAGAAATAACAAAACGGGAGGGTGGCAGGAGATGGTTCTGAAATACGGGAGACTCCTGGGAAAAACAGGTATGACTCAAACAGGTATGATCTGGGAAAAACAGGTATAACTCTAAACCTAAATCAAGCAAGCTCACAGATAAATGGTGACCTGAAAGACACTAATCCTGCAACCACTGAATGAGTTTCACAACATTATTCTGTAGCGCTTTTGGGTTTTACTCTTCATAATCCCCACTCTGTAGTCTTTATGAGCTTCCCTTAAGCAGTTTTTGTAATGAAAGTTTGTCTTACAAAAAATATCACCAAAAATATAAGCTGTAATCTCTAATGAAGCGATTTAGCTGCCATTTATTAAATACTGTGTCCCTCATGCCCTCGTTTCATTCATGATTACAGCTAAGGCTTCAGTGTGAATGGGGTTTTCTTGTTGAATTTAGGACAGGCGACAGGTCTGCACAGATGCCATCCATTCAGGCATACGAGCAGACAGCCGATAATGAGCAGTGGAGGAACAGCTCTGCTACGTGATCGACAAAAACCCTGCTGCTCTGCTGCACATTCACAAATGAGCAACCATTGTCTACACAACTGCACTACAGTTCACTCATTAGTGCTGGACTTCGTCTGTGTTTCCTTTTGCGAGTCTTTTCACAAGTACAGTGGCCCCCTAAACAAGAAGTGAACACTTAAAGGGACAGTTCACCCAATAATCACAATTTCCTCATCATTTACTCACACTTAACTAGTTTTCAACTTTTGTTTTTTTCGTCTGTCGAACACAAAATAAGATATGCTGAAGAATGTTGGAGAAAAGCAGACATTGATATCTAGAGTATTTCCCCCCAACAATGTCTTTTTTCGTGTTCAACAGAAAAAAAGAAACGTAACCACTTTAGAAGGAGTAAATGTGAACGACATTATTAATATTGGGTGAGCTGTCCCTTTAAATGTGGTTGAATTGCAGCCTTTTAGGGCCTCTGAGCAATTTTTTTGACTGACTTTTGGAAATGCATGCAGCTACCGAATTTTCCGTTTGTGTTAATCTGATGTTTATAAAGAGGTTATAAAAACAGCAGTTGCATTGTTTATTTTATATTTAGCCATTGAGCTATGTTTTTGTCAAAAGCGACTTACAATTGAGGAGGCAATCAGCGATTCAACAAGAGGCAATAAACATTAGAAGTGCTAATTATACAAAGGAACTGATA